GCAAGTTTGGAGTTCAAGGTGTCAAGGTTCTGGTGTACCCGAGGTTTACGGCTTAGGGATTTTCACGCTCGGTTAATGGTTAAGTATGTCATGAGCTGCTATCGATTTAGGGCGCACGGAGCAGGAACAAGTTCCGAAAGCTCAGGAGGGTTGGACAAAAAGGCTTCCCAAATGTTGGGGTTTTCAGCTTCATTGTCTGCGGTGCTTGGGATTAAGAATCATTGGTCCTCGGTGCAGGTTGCGCATGCCCATTCCTAAAGCCTGATACAACTAAGACAGAAACTTGCAAACTTACCAATCTCACTCCTTAAGGGGTCCTTTTTCTGAATATACCATAAGACTTTACCCTAAACCCTAAACCCTAAACCCTCGCCCAGGCTTTAGTTGTTAAGGCCCGTATATTCGACCTTAAATCCGGCTGAAGCCTTCACCCTAAACCCTTCGCACCAAGCCCTTGAACCCGAACCCTAAGCTGGCTATAAGCCCTAGTGCCCCAGCATCAGCTACCGTAGCCTAACATAGAAGCCAAAATAATGACCCGAAACGGTTTAGGATTTAGGGTCTTTAGGGCTCCTTATCATAATTCTACAATAAAGGAGGCCTAGTTATGAAGTTCCGTAGATTACCTAGACTACTTTCTGTAGGATCTAAATCGCAGAACAAAATGTGTCGGGGTCCTTGCGGGATCCTTGCTGTTCGCCTCAACCCCTGGAAACCCGACACCATGAGCTGAAGGATTTGCACCCAGTTTAGGGTTTTGGGCTTAAGGGGTTCGGGGCTAGGGTGCTTGAAGGACTATGGCACTTTGTAACTAGGGATACAAACTTGATGAGCTTAATAATCCCCATTAGGGTACTTATAGCCTTACCTACTAAGCCCCATGATCCTCGAAGTAGCTCCGCCACAGGTCCTCGATCCCTGGACCTTGAAATAGGGGTTTAGGGTTTAGGGTTTAGGGGGGGGGGGAGGGTTCTTGTCGAAGTCAGGGCTCCTTGTTTACAATTATAGTAGAACCCTAAACCCACATCCCCAAGCCCAATTCTGACTACCTGGACACCAAAAGTATGTGCCCTTTCATAGGATTTTGCTACTTTTTTGGGGGGGTTTGCCCAGACAGCCCAATACCCCTTAAATAAGGAATATACCTTAACGCATAGGGACCTTCATATTTTGTCTTAGGGTATATTCCTTAATTAAGGGGTATTGGGTTCTCTGGGTGGGCAAAAAGATCCCAGTATATGCTCTATCCTATCGGGGCTTTACGTGCTTCTAGGAACAGTTATCTTAGTGATAAGACTCACTGAGTCCCACTTGAACCCCAAAGCTTGAGAGCCTTACAGAAGCCCTGCAAGCCCTGAACCCTAAACCCTCTAAACACTAAGCCCTAATCTCTCAAAACACAGAGAGTAGAGAAAGGCTCACATGCCTGAGTTCCGAAGTTCGGCCCAAGTATGGAAACCATTCAGAGGGGATTAGGGTTTAGGGGTTTAGGGTTTAGGGTAGATACCGTTTAGCGGTGTTCGGCCTTCAATGTTTTAATGTTGCTGCGTTTACAGCCGTTGTGGTCTGAAAGTTTTGCCTTGCAGCTTGTCTTGCGTTAGCTCTGAGGCAAGTAGAGTGGCCAAACATGTACTCAGGTTAAAGCTCATAGACCCTAAACCCTAAATCCCCTAAACCCTAAACCCGAGCCTAAACCAGGGTTTTTGGGGCCGATTATAGTATAGTATAAGCAGGAGCTCCCCAAAAAAGTATTGGTAATTATTTAGGCCCCTATATTAGCCATGAGCGTCGATTTTTGGACCTACATCTTCAACTCCAAGCTCCTACTCCCCGAAACCCCAAATCCCCAGAGAGCCCAATACCCCTTAAATAAGGAATGTACCTTAAATCATAATACTAAGACCCCTATAATTTTTGGTATATATTGCTCATTTAAGGGGCATAATATTAAGGCCCCTATAACTTAAGGTATATATATATATATATATATTGCTCATTTAAGGGGTATTGGGCTCTCTGGGTGGTTCCTAAACCCCAAACCCCCGCCACTACGCCATAAACCCAAAGTCCTAAACCGTAAAAATCCTCGACCCCAATCCCTAGCCCTAAACCCTATAAATCCTAAACCCCAAACCCTACAGTTGAGGTTGCCGTTTCGCTGGTCGAGTTATACTGATAAGGAATTACGAGGGCTTGTAAGAGGCTTGATACTGTAGATATTTTGGGTTTTACAGGGTAGTGTAGTTTGAAATAGAGCTTATAGGGCGATTTTCGGTCCGTGCATATAGGGTTCCCTTACTTTTAAACTGGTGAGTGTACATTCTGGCTCTGTTGTCGCGATGCTAGCAAAAACGCCTTATGCCATTCGAGATTTTCCTCTTTAGGTTGCTGTGGAAAACATATAGCATAGGGTTTGGGCATCTATTTTTCCAAAAACTCATCGCGTCCGGGCGGGTTCTCCGTCCAGGAAGAGCAGCGATGCTCCGGGCCTGATTCGGTCTAGTCGGAGGGTTCGAGCCGAAGGCCTTTTGTCTCAAGGGTATTGGGTTTTACGAGGGTTTCAAGGGATCTGATTTTGGGTGGTTTAAGGTTTAGGGTTTAGGGTTTAGAACTTCAGCCAAAAGGCCCAGAATGATGCTCCCTCTGCCTCTAACCCCTTCAACCCCAACCCCTGCACCCCAAACAAGCTTGTACAACTTGATCTTATGCCTCTCACGTATGTGTCGGAAAACCTCAAGCCTTAACAAGCCTTTAAACAACACATCGGAGCTTAGCATGTCCCCTGCACTAGGAAGCCTAAACCCTAAACACTTAATGTAGGGGCCTGAAGAATTACCAATAGTATTTTTTGGGGTGGCCTTTTTTTATAAGTATAGTATAATGGGCCCCAAAACCTTAATCTAAATATTAAGGCCCCTTTTTTTTACCTAAACCCTAAACCCCAAACCCTAAACCCTAAACCCTAAACCCTAAACCCTAAACCCTAAACCCTAACCAGAGAAAGAGCTGCCTCGCGCCGGCAATGTTCCTGCGCAGCGATGTGGCGATGGAAGCTCTGGCTGCCGGGTTTCGCCGCAGAGCCTCGGCCATTGTATCAGCACATGTGTCCTGGACAGTGAGAAGCACAAAGAGAGGGAGAGAGAGAGAGAGAAGAGAGTGACAGAGAGAGAGAGAGAGAGGGAGAGAGTGACAGAGAGGGTGACGGAGGGAGAGAGAGAGAGAGAGAGAGAGAGACAGGGAGAGAGAGAGAGAGAGAGACAGAAAGCGAGAGAAAGAGAGAGACAGAGAGAGAAAGAGGGAGACAGAGAGAGAGAGAGAGGGAGAGAGTGACAGAGAGGGTGACGCAGAGAGAGAGAGAGAGAGACAGAGAGAGACAGAGAGAGACAGAGAGAGAGAGAGTGTGTGTGTGTGTGTAGGGGAAAACCCCTGCACCACAGCCCTGGCGAAAGAAAGAGAGAGAGAGAGAGACATAGAGAGAGATGGACAAAACAGTAGAAAAAAACAATCCCACAAGCCTTAAATCCCAAACCCCAATCGCCAAGCACTGACCGACCGCTGTAAAACCCTGATGCACTTTCTACTACAAGGTTCGAATACTGAGTGAGAGGTATACTAGCCCCTTAGAGATATTCTGGTAGAGTTGGTTCATCTTACTCATATTACCAACACCCCAAAACCTCCAAACCCTACCACCCCTCCCCCTCAACAACAAGAAATGTTCGAACACCTAAACCCCAAAATGGAAACCCTACCTCTCCCCCCCCCCAAAAAAAATAGCCCTAAGCCCTAAACCCTGAACTTTAAACCCTTAAACCCGATACCCAAATCCTAAGCCCTAAACCCTAAACCTTAAACCCGAAACCTTAAGCCCTAAACCCTAAGCCTTAAACCTTAAACCCTAAACCTCAAGCCCTAAACCCCAAGCCCTAAACCCTAAACCTGAAACCCTAAGCCTTAAAACCCGAAACCCTAAACCTTAAACCTCAAACCCTAAACCTGAAAGCCCTAAACCCTAAACCGTAAACCCTATACCTTAAACCCTAAACCTGAAAACCCGAAACCCTAAACCTTAAACCCTAAACCTGAAAACCAGAAACCCGAAACCCTAAACCCTAAACCCGAAACCTTAAGCCCTAAACCCTAAACCCTTAAAAAAACCCTAAACCTCAAAACCCGAAACCCGAAACCCCGGAGAGTCTTTGGCTCCTTGAGGCGCAGGCTGCACTTCTCAGGGCCTCCTTCGAGGTCTCGGTTTTCGCAGTTTTTTGAGTTCAAGATGGTTCAGGGTTCAGGGTGTAGGGTTGAGGGTTTCTATAGGGTTTGGGGTTGAGGGTTTAGGATTTAGGGTTTAGGTTCAGGGTTTAGGGTTGAGGGGTTAGGATTTAGGGCTTAGGGTTGAGGATTTAGGGTTTAGGGTTTCGGGTTTACTGGATGGATGGATGGATTTAGGGAGGGAGGGAGGTAGGGAGGGAGGGATTCAGGATCCAAGTTTCAGCTTCTTGGGCTGAATGTTGTTGGGGTTTAGGGTTTAGGGTTTAGGGTTTAGGGTTTAGGGTTGAGGGTTCAGGAGTTTAGGTTCTAGGGGTTAGGGAATAGGTACAGTCTCTTAAACCCTTCAACCCCTGAAAACGCCCCACCACCTCAACAACGGCAACCTTTTCAAGACCTCTAAACCACATAGCCAAGAAACCGCTTGACACACCATAAGCTTCTAAGCCTTACGCCCTAAAGTAAACCCGGAGCCCATCCGTCCATGTTTCATCCATCCAGCCAACATACACCCAGCACTGTTCTGATTACTAAGGAGCTCTAAACGCTAAGCCCTAAACCATCGAGTTGCCCCCGGGACAGCCTGTCATTCTCATGCATTCGCTGTTGGGTGTCTGCAGTGCCTCCAGAACCATATCTTTCCATTCAGAGTAGGGGCCGAAGGGGATGCCGAGCGGCTTGCCTACTCCTCTCTCTGCACGTCCTTCTCCGAGAGCGTCGCCGGAGGCACTATGGCCAGGGTCGATTTGAAGCTTGCTTCGCAAGATGCTGCTGGCCTTGCGCAAGGCGACAAACTGGTGTGCCTCCTGCTCGGAAGCTTCTGTGACATGCGAGATAGAATCGCACGAGGCCACGACCAGCGGCCGTGTGCATCGAAACACATCTCTGAAGAGACTTTGCAAGAGCTGCTGTTCACCTTGGGTCGTGGTCCTGCCACAGTCCGACTTCTGCAGTTGTTCGGAGTGAGCCTCAGGAGCAACTGCAAGATCAACTTGCAGGCAGCTTGGCTTCCTCAGCCAGTTGCTGCACATCGAAGCTTGGACATCCTGAAAGAGAACTCAGCACGAGCACAGCAGTTGATGGAGTGCTCGGAGACCCGCAAGTACTTTGTGGCCATTGATGAGTCTGCTAAGATGAGAATCGGTTTTGGGGTTTAGGGTTTAGCGACATGGGCCGTTCATGTAGGGGCCTGAGTAGCTACCGATTTTAAACCTTGGTGTTCCTGATCTTTCTATACTATAAGAGCCTCCGAAATTCAAAACCTATTCTAAGTTTTAAGGCCCCTATATCACTCAAGAGGAGAAGAAGTAAGCCAATCAAGAGAAAAGGCTTAGAGGCCTTGACAGCTTCTTCGCGTTCCTGGCCGTACAGGCTGCCTGCAGGCAAGCATCCGAATCGTTAGCTGCAATCTCGCGAGTCCATGCGTGAAGTTAGACGGTGTTAGGCTGCTGTTGTTCCGCCTTGGCTGCGTCGTGGAAGTAGAACTTAAGGCGAGCACTTGCCTCACTTCGAACCCAAATGCGACTTGACCTAATCCTTTATATCAGGGGCCAGAACATGTGAGCTGTAGAGTTGTTGTAATCATGTAAGGGCAGAGGGTGTAGGTGTTGGAGGCTGAGGGTCAAGGAATTGAAAACTCAGGGGTTGGAGGGTTTAGGGTTTGCAAGTAGGTAGGCAGCAGAGAGGAACCCGATAAACAAAAACGACATGAGATGGCCAAGGGAACTCACAGCCCCAAAACCTAGACCCTGAAGGCTTTAGATCCTAAACACATGCCCTGAACTCTTACGAAACCAAGAATCCAGAATAACACCTGGACGACCCCAGCAGTGAAACCTCAGAGAACATGCCGAACCCTCAGACTAGGTTGTTCAGTCGTATACTTGTCTAGCTTCTTGTTACTGGGCGCCTATGACAATTCATCTAACCCAAGAAGTATATCCCTCAACCCTGGACCTTAAACCGTAAACCCTAATCCCTAATCCCTATAGACCCTAAACCCTAAACCCACTGTGTCCCAGTGACTTACTAAACAGCCCTGAACGTAAACTCGACAGGCGGCCGTGCAGCAAGGGGCTCCGCAGCGATGTCTCGAGGCGAGGGTGTGGGTTTAGGGTTTAGGGTTAGGGCTTTTGGGTTTAGGGTTTAGGCCTTTTTGGTTTAGGGTTTAGGGTTTAGGTTTTTTTGGTTTAGGGTTTAGGGTTAGTTCTATACGGCTTTAGGGGTTTAGGAAATGGCGTTTTGCGAGGGTTGCATGTGCTTCCTTTGGAATGTGATCAGGGGTTAATACAGCAGTGGTTTTGTCAGGTTTTTTCATGGTGCTATGAGGATGCGAAGTATAATATTTCATTTTTTAGGTCGAGGTCGTAGGGCTTGGGGACTATAGGGTTCAGGATTTGGTGTGTAGGTTAATTTTCCCGATTACGTGCTCGTGTCCACGCCCCATTACTTATTCAAGGAGCACTAAAACCTAAAACTTAAACCCTAAATCCTAAACCCTAAACCCCCAACCCTAAACCCCAAACCCCCCCAAAACCCCCAAACCCAGACCCCAGAAGCCTCAAACTTCAATCCCCTGTTTCAGGAGTCTAGGCAGAGCAAGAAACTCTAAACCCAAAGCCTGTTCTGGCCATGTAGCCCCATATGGGAGGTTCCGAAAATTAGGGGTACCTTATTTTGGGGCCCTTATAATAAGGATCCTACTATTTAGGGTACCATATTAGGGTCCCCTAGTTTCGGAAACTCCCATATACTGCAGGACCTTACATATCCCTGAAGCCAAAAATTCTAGGCTTCACAGCCTGACCCCAAGCCCAAGAGAAGGAAGCCACGCCACACTTCTTCATGCTCTTTCCGCTGGCGGACGCCTACTTCGGTCAGCCTCACTACGCCGCGCTGGAGTCGGTACTGCCCTTCGGTGTTTGACGATGGCTGTTTAACTGTTTATAGACTCGCATGCATAGCTTTAGTTAAAGTTGCTGAGTCGTTTCAGGGTTTAGGGCGTTTCGGAGTCTACTCGAAGGATTAGGAGACTCGGTTGGTAAGGCTATATGTACTGTACCTAAGCCTAAATTGGGCTATATAAACGGCTTTCCAGTAGGTCTAACTATAAAGCTACCTTACGTATATCCCTGCTTACTAAGTCCCCTGGGCCCTCATGCAACCATGCTTGGAAGATCGTGAGACTTGGGTTCAATAGGGACTTGATAGGAGGGTTAGGGCTTAACGCGTTTATGTTCAGGGCTCTAGGTTTTGCCGAATTTCGTATTCAGTAGACCATGATGAATACATATATGTTTATGCACAGATAGATGGTCAGATAGAAAGGTACATAGCTAGATAGGTAGATAGATAGATAGATAGATAGATAGATAGTTAGGAGGAAGATAGAAGATAGATAGATAGATAGATAGATGAACAGACAGATAAAAAAGTTGCATGGGTGGATACACAGATACATAGACGTGATAGGTAGCGATAGATATAGACAGAGATCTCTGTAGGTATAGGTATAGATCTAGCTTCAGCTTCCTTCATTTGCAAGCGAAGCCGGCTTCGCAACTATTCAATGCATGCCCAAAGCCCTAGAGCCTGCAGTATAATCTAGAAGCCCAAATCATTACCAATATTGTTCTTTAGGGTTCCTTATTATAGCTATGCGATAAAGGATCCCAGAACCCTGTTCTAATAAACCCTAAACCCTAAACCCTGTTAAGACTCCTACATTCGGGCCTTAAGCATCCCAGGCCCCAGCCCCAAATACGAAGCCCCAAACCCCATGCCCCCCTAAACCCTAAACCCTAAACCGTACACCCTGAGCCCTAGGCCCTGACCCCTCAAGCCTTAAGCCAGAACCCACAAACCTAAACCGAAATCCAAAAGACATGAGCAAATGACATGAAGCCCTAACCCCATATATTAGGGTTCATATTACGAACTCTCATGAAGGCTCAGGGTTTCTTAATCAGGTTCCTATGTTAAACCCCAGACCCTACACCCCACATCAGCAAAACAAAGATAAAGACAGGTTTCACCACCCAGCCGCATCTGTACTCGTCATCGGTCTCGAGCGAGATGGCTCCATGTTCCAGGCATACCAGCGCGAAGGCAGGCTGCTTAGGGTTAGAGTTTTGGTATCAGGGTTAGGGTTAGGTTTGGGGTTGCGGCTTTTGGGCCATTAGGCAACTTAATAAGTAGGGTTATGCAGGTTGTTGACCGGGGCTTTATATGATCTATACACGTTCAGCCGGGTTTTAGGGAGTTTCATATTCTCTTAGGGTTTACTTGGTGGCTTGGGTCTCGATGAGTAAGAGCACTATGATAGCCTGCGTCTTGTTCCATTTCAGGTACTTGACGAAGTCAGCAGGTCCCGCAAGTCAGCTTTGCGGTTCAAGGTTTAAAAGTGTCAGGATCCTGGTTTGGGGTTTAGGGTTAAGGGCTAGTTAGAGCTAAATATGGGCCCTAAGCCCTGAACTCTGCGGAGGCATGAGGTTATGTGTACGCCGTTGATTTCAGGCACTGAGATGCAGCGCTTCAAGAGGGAGTCTCAGCTAACAATGGGCCGTGATTTTCAGGTGGGTAGTTACCGTTATAGGAGCCTTATAGAAGGTCTATGTACCTTATGGAAGCCTTATAGAAGCCCTATATACCCTAAACTTCCCACCTGTAGTTTCCTTTAACTTATAAACCCTAGACCCTAAGCCCGTCTTCAGCAACCCTTATTGGAGTGAGGGCGGCCTGGAGTTGTCAGGTCTGGCTGTCCCTGAACCATACAGTAATATAGTGGCTACTTCAATCCCCTGAACCCGGGTTCAGGTTATATGGGGTCATGAAGAAAATGGCGTCATACGCCGCACATATAAGACTGCACACCAGACGGCTTCAACCTGGCCTCAGAGCAACCTTGCGTCCTAAACCTTGGAAATTCGGAGCTTCTGAAGCCTGAACCCTAAATTCCCTAAATCCTACACCATGAAGTCCAGAAGCCTCAACAGCACTCCTTCTCATGATGAGCCTCAACTAGTATAGAAGCCTAAATAATTGACAATATTACTGGTAGTGTTGCTGATTATAATTATACTATAAAGGAGCTCAAAACCCTATTCTAATTATTAAGGCCCCTATATTACGCCGAACCCTGCCTCCTTCACAGGCTATTGTGTGGCCACGCTGCGTGCAGACATGCCGGCGCTCGGCAAGGAGCGAAAGCCATGGAAGCACGCTGTCAGTCCTGACAGTGCGAGTGTGTTTGCATGTTTTGCTCTAATGCTTCGAGGTTGTCGGTCTTCCAGGTGCAGTACAATTGAGACTGTGTGTTTGGCCGGCCACCACCACTGTAGCACCGGTTCTAGCAGGGTTACTATACCGGTTAAGTTGCTACAAGGGTCATTACATGGATGGAAATCATGCTATACATCAGAGAGATCGAAAAAGATCTGTAGTTGACCTTGTGCTTTTGAGCGTGGCGCGGCTTTAGGGTTTAGGGTTTAGGGTTAACCCTAAACCCTAAACCCTTATCCCTAAACCCTAACTCTCTTCATTCTACGGGCCCCTTCCAGGAGTTGGTAGCAGCCGTGGGAAGCGAGCACAGCTCCTCCATTGAAGCTTTTTTGGCGCCTTAGCTGCAGCTACCAGGTCGGCCCTCGTCTGCTCCTGTTTAGGGCTGGGATTCAGGGTTTAGGGTTTAGGGTTTAGGGTTTAGGGGTTTAGGGTTTAGGGTTTAGGATTTAGGGCATTATTGTTGCAGGCTTAGTGGGGTTGAACAGTTCTGGTTTAAGGTTTAGGGTTTAGGGCTTAGGGTTATTATTGTTGCAGGCTTAGTGGAGGGGCTAACGGTTCTGAAGACAATGAGTAGTGGCTTCAGAGGCGCCGGGTATGTCTGTCTCTCGATGCCTCGCCATACAGGGCGGGAGGGACATAAACCCTCACGATCGTAGCGTCCGCGCAGCAGAGGCTGATCAAGAAGTCTGAAGACAGGTATCTAATTACAGTCTAGATGATGCACATACCGTTCAGAGTTGAGAGAACTGTAGTTGGTGGCTTGGAAAGCTAACATTGCTGCCTCAAGCTTCCGGGCACAGGTTTACCACTTTACCCTAAACCCTGAACCCTAAACCCTAAACCCTGAACTTTTCTGGTGCCTGAACCCCAAGCAGGCTACGACCAAGGGCTTTCGGTTTACGGAGTTTAGGGGCCGCCATAAACAGTTTAAGGTTTACCTATAGTCGCCATTCTAGTTCCTTTTTTTGTTTAACAGATTCTATATTAATATGAAGGATTCTGAAAGGTAACCCCCAAAAAGGAACCACAATGGAGACTATAGGTAGGGTCTAAGTTCATCAGGTTCATAGCATGGGCCCTCAATTGGCCTAGAACCCCAAAACCCCCCAAGAATCCGACCTCCTTGACCACAAAGCCCGACTCCCTACCTATATCCTAATCAGCTTTATATCCCTAAGGCTAAAGTAGCCCAAAAGTCTTATATCGTATGGTCTTTGGGCTCAAAAGCCTTAAATTTGTGAGTCCTTAGAGCCTTAGGGTATGTGTTTGAGGGTTTAGGGTTTAGGTTGGGTTACCCCTGATGCTTTGTTGTTTGTTGCTGCCAAAAAAAAGCGATTTTCTCTGCGTCAGGACTGAGGTTCCTACCCAAGCCCCTACTTGGAGGATCATGGGACTTAGTAGGTAAGGGTTTAGGGTTTGGGGTTGAGGGTTTAGGGTTTGGGGTTTAGGGTTTAGGGTTTAGGGTTTAGTAAGTAAGGTTATAAGTACCCTGATTGGGGTTATGATTATAGTTACCTTATTTATAACCCTAGTTACTAAGTCCCATGATCCTCCGAGTAAACATCCCGAGGAAAGCCACGGACATCCGAAGACGGAAGCAGCGCTGCTTCGACTTTTCAATGTCGTGCTCCTCGTCCTACAGGCGGGAATGGGTAAAGAATCCCTTACTCACGTGTGACCCTACCTGAACTTGGAATAAGCATAACTATATAGTTATGCTTATTCAAGAATAGTAGCTGCTTATATCCTACCAATTTAAAGAACTTGCAACCGTGTACTTTCTAAGTCCGATACGATAATCCTCCAAGTGCGAGTCAATGTTTCAGGGTTTGCGGGTTTCACGTTACCGGTGCTGAAAGCTTGAGCATGGTTTTGCTGAAGTGGGCGTGTGGGCTTCGGCGACAAGGGCACGAATCCCCAACACGGCTCCTGACTGAGAGCAACCTTCACATCGAAAAACCCGACTTAGGGGTTCAGGGGACTGAATATAGGGGCCTTAATAGTTAGAATAGGGTTTTGGGGCCCAGTATACTATAATTCTAAGTAATGAGCCCCCCAAAATAGTATAGGTAATTATTTAGCACCCTACATGGGGGTTTCCGAAAATAGGGGACTCTAACATGGCACCCTAAATAATAGGATCCTTANNAGGACCCCAAAATAAGGTACCCTAACCTTCGGAAACTCCCACATTAACCAGCAGAGACTTGGAGGTTTTGTAGGGGTTCTAGGGCTTTCTTCAGGGAGCAGGGGCCTTTCTACTTGTCTGTAGGATTGTGCGCAAAGTAATTTTTCTTAAAAGTTACATACTACCGTCCCAACTACTAACAAGTACTGTATATATTTTATAGCTTCAAACCCTAAGCCCTAAAAACTAAAC